TGAACCACAGAGGCCATTCTTGACCAGTCTTTCACAAAGCAGCTCTCTAAAACATGAGTCATTTGATTGCCTTTCTTGTGTTTTTTGGATCTTGGTTCTGTGCTTCCTATAATACAGTGACCAGATTTGTACACATTATTCCAAAAGAGACCATCCAGCTGCCTTACTGAATGCCAAAGTAATAACGTCTGTGGTTTATACTCTGTTGTCTTCCATATACAACCCAAAACCTTGTTTGCCTTTGTTACTGTTGCCAGATGTCCTGGGGATGGATTTCAGGCGTATTGTGGTGAATGTCACCATGCCAGTGAATTTCAGCAAATTTAAGCAGCTTTGAAATGATTCCTTTTTCTAGATGGTTATATGCAAGTTGAACGAAACTGTGTTGTCACTTGAACTATTCTGGTTACATCTTTTTCACACTGAATCACACTACCTGTTACCAGTTTCTCTGTGGGATTCTCTTCAAAAGCTTTTTCAATTTATCAGGCCTCTTTCTGATGCTCTGCTTTGCTGGAAACTCCATGGGAACAGCCCAGCTCTGAGGGCCTAGGCAGTAGGATAGCAGTTTTATTGTTGTTAGTACCCAGTTAGTACCCAGTTTACTTGATTTGTATCCCTGACTCATGAAGAGAATAGGAGCTCTTTCCACCTAGAGAGCAAGCAAGGGGAGGGAACAACCTGTAAAAGGATGGTGATATTCTCACCTGTTTTTTCCTGCAGATTTGCTAACAGCACAGGAATACCACTGCTTGCTGCAGCTGCTCTGCCCTGACTTCCCCATGGAACTCACTCAGAAGGCAGCAAGGTGAGTCCTCATCTACTCTTTTAAGGCAAGATCACTCCTACACCCATGGGCTTAGAAACTACATCTGCGGGCAAACATATGGACAGGGACATTCAGCTATAAAGATTTTGGGGAAAAAGATAACATAAATTGAGGTTAGAAACAGGGTGTTTTTCTAGCAATGAGAAAGAGAGTATATTTAAGGTATACAGGGACTGAAATATCAGTGCAGTGTTAAATATATGAAGAATGATACTGCTGGCTTTGTCTAGGCTCAGAAGATGAGTTGCAAATAAAAGAATGTTAGCCAACATGTTTTCAACTGATGTGATTTTAAACTCTTTTTAAAATAATGTTTACCATCTTTATGTGTTCCCTCCCACTCTAGCTTCCTATGGTTGATCACATTTTAAAGGTGCTAACCGCTGAAGCATTGCCACAGTGTTTTAAAGTATGTTAGCTAAGAACATTGTGTCACAGGCTGCACATGGTAGCTAATCTGTTTCAAATTTTATTTTAATCTAGACAAGGTCTAAAGCAGATAGATGGCTCAGGGCACTGATAATGTGATATAGAACTTTTTTACTGATAGCGCTTGCTGATTCCAGTCCAGCCAAGATAGTTGATTATTAACCATCTGATAGTGAAAATGTAATAAGGTATATATGCATCTGTTTGTGGGGGGGGGTGGTTGGTTCACATTCACATATGTATAATCACAGTAAGATTACTGAATAAATAATCTCATTCCCAGCCGTCTCAGCAGTGGGGGCATAGAAACTAAACTTTTTCATAAACCTAGATATGATCTTTGGAAGCAGGGTCTAGGTGCACGATCAGGATATTAGCTGCTGCCTGTGTTGTTCATGGCCTGAACATGAAGAGGTCCTCATTTTTTGTTTATCATTGTCATGTTTCTTCAGTATCAGGGTCCCATGAAAATTATATTTCAAAAGGAGAGTGTAAAACAAAAGTGCTACCATCCACAAGTACTTCCACTCAGTTGATTCTTTGAATTTCTCTCTTGCCCCTATATGCTGCTGTCCCAACTGAACTGCAGTTACGGCTGTGTAGGTTCAAGTAAAATGAAAAGCTGAGTGCTGCTTTTCCCTCTTGCTCTTCAGCGGGCTTTTTGGTCTCCACAGAGCTCAGTTCCTTGGCCTCCAATGCCAGACTAAGAAAGAATGCTAACCTTGTAGCAGGAATATATCTGCTGCTTCCTTTCATGGAGGTACAAAAGCACAAGTCCCGTGCGCTGGTGTGCATTTCATAGGGTTCCAGCTGAGCTGAGCAGGAATTTGTGATGGAGCGGGAAAGGAGACTTCAGCATATCTACGCATGTTATGATGTTTGTGTCAAGGAATTTAATCCACAAAGCTGTTGTAAACTAGAGGCCCCATTCAGGGGCCTGCTGCACTGTTGTGTGTGTGCCTTAGAGACAGACAAGCAGGCTTTGGGAGCAGGTGTTAGATAGAAATGAGATCTCTGTCTGAGGCACCCAAGCTCAGGTGGGGATGACCTCATTCCTACTTTTGGCTGGCTAGAGATATACTTACACATTGCTATTATTCTGTTACAAACTAATCCGGTTGAGCAATTTTAATAAAAGTTGTCATACTTCTAAAACATCCTCCTCTTTCCTTCCATTTCTTGCTCTCTCTCTTTTCCTCTTTCTTGTCCCATACTGGTACTTACTCTAGTTCCCACTTCCTATTGTCCTCCTTGGTTCCTGCCAGCTAGAAAGGTGAACTCTGTAGGCTGTTTTCTAGCACTGGTTGGCTGATTCTTTGCAGAGCATGAGTGTCACATGCAGACCTGAGGACATTGCTCCTCCTTCATTCTGCACACCCCAGACAATTTTGTTGTTAATTTGCTGTGGGAAAGGAAGGGAATAAAGTAGTGGCAGGATCAGCCACAGCCTTCACTGGTATAGCCAGGACCTGTGGAATTATTGGCACTCGTAGGACGAGAACTGCCTCAGTTGTAGTCTCAGTGCTGCTTGACTGAGATGATCTCACAGCACAGTGCACTCTGCTCGCCCAGGAGCTGTTGCTATGCACTGATAACAAACACTGGAAGGGAATAAGACCAGGAAATGTCAGGGCAGAAGAGCAGAGGCAACAGCAGTATAGTTTTTATTAGTATTACAACTGAAAGCTCCATTTTTCTGTTTCAGATGCCATGTGAATGCACAGGTCATACCCAAAAAAGAACCAGGCTATATGTCTCTGTGAGTTTCCTTGGACTTTTTTTTTTCCCTCAGGAGGCCTTAGCCACTAGCAGATTGAAGATTTTAATCTTCAGAGTGACCTTTAATCTTCAGAGATACCTTCTGGCTTTCTGAATCTTGAAATTGCAGAAGGACAGAGAAAGAAGGGATTTTTCTGGTTTGATGCCATCAGGCTCTGTAGCTAAGTGCTAACTTCCCTCTTGTAACAGAAACACAACTCACTGCCTGCATTTGACTCGGAGGAGCTGAGTAGTTAACAGTTCCCATGCTGCTTTACATGATATGGGAGCTCATGTTGCACTGATCTGTGCTAATGGAAGTGGGGCTTGAAAGTCTCTGTACCTCTCTTGTTAAATCTGTGCCTGAGAGTTCAGATGCTGCTCTTTTTGTATATCCCATTCATTTTTGCCTCTGTATATCAGTAAACAAACCAAGTCCTTGGAGAACCATTTGAGCCATCCTGGCCTTAAGGCACATTGTGTCTGTTAGCCCTTAACGGTAGCAGAGAACAGTAAAAGTCCTTTCAACTTGCCTGGTCTAGAGTTTGTCCTAGGGACTTCCTCTCTAGTCTGGGTTTCTGCGATTTTAGCCTCAGTCAGCAGATCATAAAATGTCCCCACTGGCACAGTAGCGAGGCTTTCCTGCCAGCCAAACCCACTTGAACCCTGAAAGACCACTACACCCTTACCAGAGTCCCTCAAGTGTAGGCATCTTTCTTCAACCCTTTCCATAGTTTCTCCTTGATTTTCATTATTCACTGCATGCTGGGTACTAACCTTGTAAATAAGTCTGTGCCCCTGAGGGCTTAAAGCTTAATTCTGACAAGAAAGAATGAATAAAGGATCTCTTGAAATATCAGCTACCTGGTGAACTCACTTTGAGTCCCAGCTTAAGACTGTCAGAGTTGGTCCTCAGTTTGGGTCTTGTTGCCTGGGTTACAGACAGCTCATGGCTAAGACTCTCCCCTTGACAGACATTTCAGGGAAAAGGTGCAGATATGTTGCATATGATGCTCTCCCAGCTTCCCTGGCTGTGCGGTTAGGTGGCTACATGAGGAAATAGCCAGCTGCAGCCAGTCTCCTCCTAAATGATTGTGCTGGATTTAAAGATTTCTCAACATCTCCGGAGTGCAGACTCCTGGGCCAAGTGGAGTCAGTAACCCAGCACCGGAGTGCACCTGCTTCTAGTTACACACTTTCCTGTCACACACAGGCTGTACGATCCTCTTTACAGGCTCTCTGCTGCCCTTCTGTAAGGAGGAAAGTGGGACTTGATGTTGCAGAGCGCAGGCATTGACCATAGCTGCAGATTTAACAAGTGAAATGAGTTGATTGCCATGTAGGTGATGTAATATTGACTCTCCACCAAGCAAACGCATGAAAAACTCCCCCACTGCTGTTCTCCTGCTTCTCCAGGATGGAGAAATCCACTGGCAAAAGCTTTGGAGCTTGTGCTTTGAGGGTATCTGGGGGACAGACCATTATTTCAAAGGAGAGAGTGCTGCTTCTCAGTGATGTGGCCCATAGCATTTCCAGTGCTTAAAAAGCAGTTGGAAATGCCAGTGGCTGAGCAATATTGCCTGAGAGATGAAGATGCTCTGCCTGCCAGCTTCAAAGCCGTTTCCTTGATGTGGCCACTAACAATCTCAGTAACATGCTTATTAGTGAGAATTAAGAACTGAAGCTACTGCTTCTTTAGACAGGAGGAGGAGGAGGCTTCTGGAACATAATAAATAAATCAGAAGCACTTGACATCTTCAAAGGGTTTTGTTTTAAATACTAGCTTTTCTCCTGGGTACCCTCTTAGCCCCAGTCTTTCTTCTTTGAGATAATTAATTCAAGCTGCTCTGCATGCTTGATTTTGCCACAGTGAACAGAACTGGTCTGAGTGGCAGGGAAGGAAGCCTCTTGAAAGATCCTATAGCTCTTCTAGGTCAGCCTCCCACACAGCTTCCTGGAGCCTTTTCCATGAGACAGAGCAGTGTTTCCCCACCAGTGTCTCTTGACCATTGATGCTGCAGGAATTGGTTCATGGATTGCAATGGGCCCCGTGTTCAAAGGTGCCCTGCTAGATGACCCATACTTTGGCTATAATGAATAGGTAATCCTTCTCATATGACCAGATATGCCATATATTGACTGTATAGGGTCAGGAGGCCTGCTCCTGCTTAAAATTGCTTGATGGTCTATAAAAAACACAGAGTTGAGAGGTGGTACCAAATTGTGAGTCCTTTAGCATCCTCTGAAGATTTTCTTCTTTCCTGTCAAAGCTGAGTGTTTCCTTTTGGTTTCCTGTCTGAGATCTCCTTGATGAGCTGAAGTTCCCCACTTCAGAGTCTGACCTTTTCATCCTTATGTAGTAGCAATGACCAGAGTCACTGTGATTGTTGTCACTTTAATGAAAACTTTTGCCCTAACTTAGTTCTGAAATCCAGGGTTTTCTCCTGAAAGGAGGGGCTGGACTTTGCTATCACTTCTGCTTCATCTTTATGGCCTTTAGTTGATATGATATGTATTCATGAAGTGTACTTCGAAATAGGGGTGCCTATGGATCTACCTAGGGCTTAACAGAGAGAATGAAGACATTGCCTCTGGTCCAAGAAGTTTTCAATCTCCATGAAATTTGATTTGAGCTGATAATATCTACAAAGAGACTAATTTTTTCATCAGGAATAGAGGATAGCACATTCATGTGCGCAGTGTGTAGTTAGGAAGGTGATTGTTAGTGCAAAAGATAACTCACATTATTTCCTCTTTAATCAAGTGAAGTTTGTTTGACCTTAGATTGGGAGTTAATAACTATTGTCATTCCCATGAATTTCAAAGTAGTCCACTTTACTGAACTGTATTATATAGAGGAATGGCATAATTCTCCTTCTGCTTACACCACTTTCCTGCTATTTTAACTCTCTTGTTTTTAGGACAGTTCCTCTTTATATTGCCAGTTGAATCAGCCTTGCAGTGTTTCAAACCTTTGTGTTTGCCCGTGTCCATTCCATTATGTCCACTGGGCTTTGAATATTTGACATACCTCTTGCTGCATTCACACCATAGCTGAAGTGTGCGACAGCACTGCCATTCAGGATCTTCTCCTGACTGCAAGTTCTCAAGCTGCTTTCATCTGATATCAGCATGTCCATATCCACCCTGATGCTCCTGTTCCCACTCCTCTGTGCTAATCTCTTCCACTGGGCCCAATATCTAGTAGTCCTCAGGAGCACATAGCTCCCTAGCTGCACTTTCTCTAGAGATGGAATTTCTGGTTGTAGACCAGTTTGGTTGCAGTTCTTGTGCAGCTGCTAAACCGTTTCTCTCATCTTATTCCTAGGATTGTGCTGATGGATGACGCTATGGATTGCCTGATGTCTTTTTCTGACTTCCTCTTTGCCTTCCAGATCCAATTCTACTACTCAGGTAAATGCTGGGAAGCTGCTGACTTCTCCCCTTGCCATAACTTGTCCCATGTTACAGCCTCAAGGCTTCCATATCCCTGTACTTTTTTGAAACTGATAAGGAGATGTTTTTTCACATATCTACATGAATATATGTAGATAATGGAACCCACTGACACAAGATATCGCTGAAGTCAAGAGCTTAGCAGGCTTCATAAGGAGGTTCCAGACCGGTATGAGTGACAAGATGTCCGTAATTGTTATGGATTGTGCATGTATATATTTTAGAGTGCCTTGATACTTAAATCTCCAGCTTTATCTAGTGCACCTAACAATTACTTTTACTAGGAACAACTTTTTCCATATCTCCTTAATACAGAGCGTCTGTCTTTGAAGTATTGGCCCCTGCAAGAGATAGGATAAAAATAGCCCAACACAAACCTAGCCCACTGTTCTGTCCCCAACACGGACCAGGAGCTGGTACCGAGAGAAGAGGAGGAACTGGGCAAATGTACACAATACTTCCCCCTAAAGCTCTCCCAACCAGCAGCTGTTTCCAGCTCAAAGATTTTTTGAACTGGGGATAGCTCCTATGGATTTAGGAACCTATAGTGGATTTCTCCACTGTGAACTTGTCCAGCCTCCCCTTGAAATCAAATAAACTTTTAACCTCCACAGCACTTTTTGGCAAGGAGTTGCACAGCTTTGCCACCTGTCCCACAACAAACTGCTTCTCTTGTTCGATTTGATGGCCCCTAGTTGGAAGAGAAAATGAACAGTTAATCCCTATCTACCCTCTTCACATCATTTGTCTTTTATCATATTCTACCCCTCCCAGTTGTTTGAATTTTAACTAGATGGAGTACTTTTTAAAAAATTCTTGACAAGAAAAGTACAAATCAAATAATGTTAGCTTGTGGGTGTATATGTACACACACACACACATATACATCTGTAAAAGTCCCCGGTATTTTTAAACTAAAGGGCAGAAGAGAAGGAGAGAAAGATAAATATTAAGGTGCTTGTTCTGTATATGGAGATTGCTTTAAAAGAAGCTGGCCTGTTTGTCATAGCTCCCTGAGGATCTGGCTGAGGAAAGGCACTGCCTGATTCAGGCAACAGCTTAAGTGGGGAAGAAGAGGGAAGCGTTTCCCCTGGAAAGTTGAATGAGCAGAGCTGGGCCCCCTCCCCCAACAGTAATGGCTGTTTAAGTCCTATTAGAGATAGATACGATCCCCAGCATCCGGAACTGCTGGGGTCTCACTTAACTAGTCTCAGTGCACAGCGCACTTCCCAAAGGCAACATAAGCTCACGGATTTCTGTCCGATCACACTGATAGCTCCCTCTGATGGACATATCTTGGCTTCAATCAGGCACCAGGGGCCAGATCTATAATACTGAGAGACACTGGGTAGAAGCTGTGTTGGAGCATAGTCTGTGGTTAGAAGGTAGACTTGGGTGGCCTGCTGATCTGATCCAACCTGTCAATTCCCATCTTTCTAGCAGTCAGTCAGCCACTATCCCTAATATAAACATCTCTTTTTCTCAGTTCTTCCCTGCATATACTTCCCCTGTAACTCCCCTGTACATATCCTAACATTATCCATAACAAGCCATCAAAGAAAAACAGTTCATAATAGTGGGTTTGGGTTGGGCAGAACCAGACTTGCAGCACCCTAAGCTGGGGACAGAAGATGTGTTTGGAAAGTTTTTCTCTGATACAACACATATTTCCACTGAGCTACAGAACCTCAGCCTCAGGGCCCACAGACACATCCCTCCTTTCCTCTCCACCCACCTCACAAACATCATCACACTTCCATTCACCTGGGACTTCTATGCCACTGGAGTCCACACAAATCCACCCTTGTGTACACACGCTCAAACATCCCAACCCAGCCCTACTCCCCAGGCACAGCATACACACACAGCCTGTCATACGCTCTCCCACCAACCCACACACATGCAAACCACTCCAAGTGGAGTCTAGATTTGTAAACTGCTGACCACATCCATAAACAAACTTGTTTAAAATTAGACTCTTGCAGTAAACAGTGGGTAGTATGAGGAGCCTGGGGAGAGGCTTTCTGCCAATTCTAGCCCTGACCTGCCCTGGCCCTTCCTTTAGATCCCATGTTATATTTACTTTGGAGCAGCATGGAAACAAGCTGGGGTACAGCCTGGAGCCCTGACTAGCTTGGTCCCTTTGCTCCCCTTGCAGTTCCATGCATTTTGTTCCTGACTTGGATGAGTCTCACTCAGTGGCAATAGATGGAGAAGGAAGACTTGTGAGTTTTTGCACACTAGTTTAGTGTCTGACATTAGCTTTCACACTCCACTCTTTTATCCATGTTCTAGCTTCTGTTCGCTTTAGAGGAAGTTCACCAGAGTCAGTGGTTTCTCATAATCATCCTGGTAGAAAAGCCAGCAACATACATGGAAATGTCTGTTTGTAGCACATGTGCTCGCATAATATCTGATCTGAGTTTGTAGGACACCTTAGTGATGTGCTTCATTCATTTCCTATTAACCTTATATACAACACAGAGCAGGGAATGACAATTTAATCCCGGGTCTGGTAGGTCAGGAGCATGCTTTTCTGGTATTACAGCCTTATGTTGTAAGTCACGTTCTGTTTTTTCAGAGTTCCTGGAAAGTGTGGCTGCCATTTATCAAGATCTATTGGCTGGTAAGAGTCCAAACACTGTGATTGTGCCAACATCATCCTCTGGGCAACATCGGCAGCGGCAGCCTCCGAATGACTGCAGCCCACTCGACGGGGTAGAGGCATCTCTCTTCTACCAATGCCTAGAGTCCTTGTGTGACAGATCAAAATACAGGTACGAATGGGCCCCAAAACACAGTTTTGAAGCCTGTGCCTTTGGAGACTCTTATCAGGTTGGAGCTATGAAAAGGTACACAACTTTGAACAAGCTGTGACTCCCATGTAGATCTCATTGGAGAAATATGAAGGGAGAGATCATAGCCAAACAGCTGTAACTGGAAGAAAAAAAACAATTTCATGGACTTATGAAAAATGGGCTGATTCTTGAGGTAAAAGGTTGATTTGAGGATCTGTTTGCCTTCTCACTTCTGCATTGGCACCTTCAGCAAGGAGATGTTCATCAACCATCATGAGTTAACTAGAGGAGATAAATGCAACTGTGTACCTGGACATTGAAGTTTAGGAAAGGCACGCTAGGGTGGATGGAGTTTGCAGCCTATGCACCTGTATAAGATCACACTACTAGTCTGTACTTGAGCCTCAAATGGAGCTGGTTTTCGGTCATAGAGCCCAGCCACAAGACTAGCCTTAGTTCAGCAAGGGCAAGCAACACCAGACCTTATTGTAATAATTTTGACAGATATGTTCGTCATAGATTCTTGCAGGTAGCAAGCAGATGCCCTGCTAGGTCATGGGCTAGATCCACAAAAAGATTCAAGACACAAGTCCCACCTGATTCCTGCTTTAGGTGCCTGAATCCAAGTTTGTGATCCACAGAACCATTGTTGAACTGCTGTAAGCATCTAAGCCTAGAGATGCCAGGTTTTTTGGTTGTTCTAAATAACAAAAGCTCCGCATCCCTGGAAAACAAAAGTTTCTGCAGGAAAGAATAGTTTGAGCACTTCTGGTAGGTGAGGGTCTATACGGCACTGTGAGGAGAGCCGTTCCCAGTCCTTCATCCGTTCCCAGTCCTTCATCCGGTAGCTCGATGCTCAGCCAGGCTTTGGTAACCACCTTTGCCTCAGGGATCACCAGCCCACACCCACGTCTCCTAGGAGTGCTCCAGCCAGTAGGCCATGGACTATTCAGCGCTTTCACGTCCTCTTAATGAGGCATTTCCATTTTGCATGAAATCCTTTAAAGAGTATTTGACAAGAGGAAGAATTAGTATGATGATATTGCCCAGAAGTCAGGGCAAAAGATAAGGGTGAGCATAGAAGAAGGGGACATGTGAATTATAGTCCCCGCTTAACTATGTTTTGTGATGTACTTAGTCTGTCATTGGAGAAGGTTTCTTGCCCCTTGGATAACCATCACTGATAAAAGGGTGATAACAACAACAGTACTCTCATTAAGTTTTGTTGTCCTCTAAAGAAAGGACTTTTCACTTGGTTTTTGGAAGAACCTGCTAATAGTTGGGGTGCATATGCCTCTGTATGGATCCAGGCTTTTCTCCCTGGCCTTGGAACAGAGGAAGGTAAGACTGCTCTTAGGGACACACCCCAGTGCTAAAGTCTTGTTTAGCAAACTGAGAGCAGATACAAAGCTAAATATGCACGCTGGTGGCTGTCTTAAACTGAATAGGGGCAGCCTGGCAGCCTTAAAAGAGGTAAATGGGCTTATTTCTCAGGTTTGGGCTGGGTCTTGGAAAAAAGTTTATAATTTTAAAGACCAGATGACCTCTTTGTCCCTCTTTTCCAAGCTGTCCACCTTCTGCTCTTGTGAAGGAAATGCTCAGTAGTGCACAAAGGCTGACCTTCTATGGATTCCTTATGGCACTTGCAAAGCATCAGGGGATCAACAGAGCCCTAGGTAAGTCTCCTGTGAGTGGTATGGCTCTAGATTTTCAGTCATTTTATGTTTCTTTGCCTTGGATTTTACATTGTCAGGAAGAGAGTGAGGAAACATTTTTTTCATCTTTTTGGTGATGGATGAAACTTCAAAGACATAATGTTGCACCTTAGTGTCTGCTTGAATTTGTGGAGCTTCTTGAACAATACAATTGAGATATGAAATGCTGCCCTAAGGTAGCAATATTCTACCTCTTTAATAGCTGATGGCAGAAAATATCTTTTTAATATGTTTGGCTATTAAAGTTGGACAGAGGTGGTCAGGCAATAAATAAGGTGGCTGACTGCTTTCAGAAAGTTCTCTAGAAAGTAACTGAATTGAAGTCTCATCCTGTGTTTTACTCCTTCGTTCTCCCACAAATTTGTGACCGCTCTCATTGCAAGGAAAAGGAAGGGGAAATGTGCACCTATGACCAAAATCTCTGCTGCCTCCTTGGCTCAAAGAATCAGACTGAGCCCAGTTTTTCCCAGCTGTTCCTCATCATCCCCCAAGGCAGTTTGATTTTGCCAGTATATTAAACTATGGCCTAACTGAAAATCTGATGGTACCATAAAACACAAACTGCTACCAAATTTTGTACCAAACTGCTATGGAAACCAGATAGATTACCAAGCAGCATCTCACTGCTCGTTTCCATGTCATGCCAGCCAATATTGTTCTAGAGCAGGGGAGTGAAGCATTGCATTGGCAAGGGACAGTATGGAATCCATACGTATTTCAGATTCGTAATTCCATGTTGCCCCCATATGCCTTGCTTGTGCTCCTCCTCCTCTTCTTGCAAAGACGAACAGAGATGGCTCTCTGCATTTGACAAGGTTGTATCCAGGAGGAATGTTTAATGCATGGAGGCCCAATACTCAGCTTCACTCATCTCTACCCAGCAAGTCACCTGGCCCATATGGGTAGGCTTTCTGTCTCTTTGGGTCCTTTCTGTATCGCTCTGTCTCCCTTCTACTTCAGGCCTGAGTATCTGCCAGCCCCAAAGACAAGCCACAATGAAAAGAAGGTGTTCCTTGCCTGAGGACTTGTTCCTTGGCACATATGTGTGTCATAGTAGAGTAAAAGTGTCCTCTCCCTGGCTGAGCCCCTTCTTTCAGCAAACCATTTAAGTTGATAATGCTCCTCTGGGGCAGGGCTGCTTACCCAACAACACAGAGATTATATATCAAAGGTGCATGAATACAACCCTGCAAGCTCCCTCTGCAAACACCCTTAAGAAGCAGTGTATTCACTGGGGAAGGTGATGCCCTGCTTGCTTGCAGCAAGCAAAGTCTTTTTTTCCTTCCCCATACAAAATCCACTTCCAATCAAGTGCAAAGAAAACAGATGATAGGCAGAAAAAAAAAAAAAAAACTGCCCACAGTTTTCATTGTGCCATCTACAAAGTGTGCAGGTTTTCCTTTCCACTACCATGGCTGTCCCCTGGCCCTCTGCCAACCTCCTGCTGAGGCCTCTCACAGAGGAGGGACAGCAGCCACAAGTCTGACAGGTGCTAGCATCTTGGCAAGGAGAGGAAGATTTTTGTCCTGGTGTCTTTTAATTGATTCTGAAGGGTGATGTCAATAGTCTGTGGTCTATAGAGGATCACAGGCTCCCAAAGCCCTTCCGCAAGAGCAGCCTGAGGCAAAGGAGCACTCAGTTAGGGTGCCTGCCTACTCTCTGTGGAGCCTCACAAAGCCAGGAGTCCCCATAGAGGAACAGGGATGGGGATAAGAGCAGCTCATTCTGGCTGGGGCAGCAGTTATGAGTTTGTCAGGCAAATTGGAATCTGCAGCCTAGCTCCTCTGTCACTGTTGATTCATGAATTCTTTAAGTGTTATTTACTGACTCTCCTAATCAATGCACATGCCCCAGAGACCTCACTTTCCATTCTGCAAATGCAGAAACAAGTTAAGCTTTAGCTGTATACTGTTTTAATTGAGCCCATGAGAGGAAGCAGGCTAGCACACTTCACTGGACCCCCTGTAGTGCCAGGCTTTGCTGTTCATTTGCTGGAGGGGAAGACCAGAACTGGAAGAGGTGAGGGAGTCAGTTTGCTGCAGTGGTTCTAGTTTATTAGGTACTTATGGATGGTGGTTTTGGATTACCACTGTGATGATGTGAGGGAGGTGGCTCCCCAGCCCCTCCTTCAGGAGCAAGATACCAGGGCCACAAACCAGATTTGTGTCCCCGCATGGCAGTATAAAGCACTTTCCCAACCATACTGAGTCTGGCACCTAGGTCTCCTGAAAAACCAAAAGCATTCTCCACGATGATGTTGGTACAGATTCCCAAGTATATTTTTCCCAGTGTTGTGCAGTGGCACTCTCCAGGCTGTGGTAGGCAAGTGCTGTCATCTCTGTGCTGACTGAGGAAACCCTCCCATGACCCCTGCACAAGCTGGCATTTGTTACAGGATCAGGAAGGAGGAGTTTCCCAAGAGCCCCATCTTTCTTTCTGGGCTCTTCCTGAGGTGCCACTGCCATTGTCAGAGAATGGCAGCAATGATCAACCAGCTGTCCCAGGCCTAAAGTACACCCCTGTCCTCCATCCTGCATAGGGTATCAGCCCTGGTAAACATGAAAAGGAGCATGCTGGCCTTATGCTGAGAGAAAAGGTACATGATTACTGACCCAGCCTTTCTCTTGCCCTGACAGCAGGCAACACTGGAGCGTAGCCCACCTACACTTACTCCTGTTGACCTGATGTGCAGCAGGGTCAGGCCTCACCCTCCTGAATTCCAGTAGTTTTATGTCCACGGAGCGTTTTGATTCCCAAGTTCAGTGCAGTAGAAAGGCAGGTGGCACAGAAATATGTCTCCCAGGGTGACTGCTCCCATTTTCCCAGACCTCTGCTAGACAAATTTGACATTTATTTGTAGGTAAGCAGAAGCTTTGCTGCAGGCGGTGGCACGCACAATGTATCTACAGCCTTGATGATAGGATCTGGGAGTGCTGGCCACATAGGGCAATTAGCAGGGGCCTGAAGTTGACACACCATCTCCCTGTGACACAGCTACTGTGTACTTTCTACTTACCTGTGTACTCAGTTGTTTTGTACAGTGAAAGGAAACTCTCAGCCTTTTGGTCTCTTTAAGTTCTCCAAGAGGTGAGTCTACTGAGAGCACCTCCCATTTCATCTGAGCTCAGCTATGTCAGGGAAGAACCTGTATGAAGAACACAGAATCTGGTCCATCATTCTTTGTCTGTCCATGGCCCTCAATATTCAGTGTCCAGTTCACTAACAGGTGTGAACAAGGGTCTTCTCCGTCTTGCAGGTCAGATTTTGGAGGCACTTATCTTTATGCGGACTGACCCTGAAAAGCCTAATGCTGCTCTGATAATACTTTCCTTTCTGTTTTTTCCAGGGGCTCTGCCAGATAAAGGAGACTTGTTTCTGGACCCTGCCATGGATCAGGAACTTGAGAAATTGTAAGTGGAGTTGCCTAGAGTAGGAAGTAAAGTGACAGATTGCAGGTAGCTTGTTAGGAGAGTCTTAGTTATTGTCCCTCTGTTATGTTCCTCTGTTCAACCATAAGACAATAGAGGAGCAAGCAGAGCAGTGTAGGCATAGGACCTCTTTGGAGTGCCTTGGTGCAGCTAACAAATCCTTGCCAAAGGCTTCCGATTCAGAAGCAGAGGGACAAAGAATCAGACTCAAAGAGGGAATCCGCCTCAAAGAGGGATCTTCAAGCAGCAGGAGAGCCTCTAACGAACAGGGAGATTCTGTTTGGATGAGTGAAAACTAGAAGTGTTGGAGGACACAGGCTCAGCCCAGAAGAAAGATGTGTTGTAATGGGAAGAAAGATTCAGAGTCTGCCAGGTCTGCCAAGTTCTCCTTCTTTGCATGACCATCCATCTCTGGCAGTTGTGAAAGAATCTTTATCCTTGCTTCACTCCAGCACTGCTGTGGTGAAAGCTGGAGATGGCAAGCCAGGCTGCCCAGCATTTCTCTTTTATCTTTCAGGGTAGCTCAGGTTTCAGGGCTTTCCATCTCTGCTCCCGCCAGTGCCTGTGGAGATGCAGCTAATTTGTCTGCCCGTAACTTGCCCAGGATTAGCTCTCCCTGGAAGCCTCTCCACCATCGTCGAAAAATGGATGCTGAGAGCGAAGGCTCCAATGAAGAGACAGACTCCTCTGAAAACTGAAGGTTGTGAAGGTCAGCACCATTCCCATCCCGGCTTTCTCCAGACCTCTCTGCAGGAACAGCACCTTCTCCCGGAGCATCTGGTCTGACAGGTTTCGTCCACATCTCTAGTGCACGCGTGGCTGTGCCAGTCCCTGCTGCTTGGTCCACCAGTCTCTTCCCAGGAAGAACGCTGCCATCCTCCTAGCTCCAAATTCGTGAATAGCTCCTCTGCAGAAGCCATTTACAGCTGCAGAGTTATGCTACCCTCTGCTGGCAAGTAAGACAAACCAGGAGATGCTAGGTCTGCCTCTACGTGGAAAATGGTAGAGGATTCTCTCACCAGGGCACTCTCTCACACGGTTCAGCAGGTGCTGGAGCAGTGGGAATGCTAGTGCAGGCTGGTTGCCAGTGTTTTGTTGTGTAGCTGTGTTCAGGCTTAGCCTAGACAATAGAGTGGTTAAATCACCAGCGGCTGCTCTGCGCTCATGCTCTATTACAATTATTCTCTATAAAGCTGCACCTGCATATGATGAAAGCTAGAAAAATTCCTGAAGTTCCTAGAAAAGAAGGGCTTAGGTAGTGCCCTGCCACCTGTCTCTACTTCCTCCTCAGTGTGTCCAAGTATTGCTAAAGGAAAGAGAGCAAATAACTGAAGCCTATCTTAGGTAGTACATGATGGTTTCTGGCTCCTCCACTGTACTGAGTTCCCTTCTGTAGGCCTTCCTTGGACCCCGACTGCCTCAAACAGCATAATTAGGCAAAACAAGCAAACAAACAAAAGCTTGCATGGTGAAAGCAGGCTTCGGAGCTGTGCCTGGGGAGTTGGAGGAGAGAAAACCAGTGTTTAAATTGCTTCGCCCCAGGTAGCGTAACCTGCAAACAGAGTGCATCTGGGGCAGTTTAGTGGGCGCAAGGGGAGAAGGAAGCAGCTATCAAAAGAATCCCAGGTATTTTTTTTTTTTGTCAATGCTGGCATTGCTATACCATCACAGTGTAGCCCTTACAGCTGCCAGATGAAGTACCGTCTCCTGGTATCGACTCTGCAGCCTGGCCTCCGACGTCCTGAACACTTTGGCTAGAGAAGCTGCGACACAGGGGCACAGCTTCTACAGGCTAATTATTCCCAGGGAGAATTCATTTTTCTTCGGGAGCCTCCTCGCTCTTCCCTTTCATAAATCGCTGCACAGCGTGGGCTCCTGGCCACTGCTCACCAACAGCTTAGAGCTGTCCTAAACCAGAGTGGATTTAGCCCCGTGAAACTATTTTAAGATAATCCCATAACTACTGCTGAATCTGCACCGCTGCCCCAATCACAGAAATAGTGGGAGGTGTTATTTATTATAATTTACTTTATTTATTTACTTGTCCTTTCACTGCCCTCTCCCCCCCCCCAAAAAAATCTGCGAGCGAC